GTAATGAATAAAAAAATTAATAGAAGTTTTTTTTTTAATTAAGAATTGTCATAACTAATAATGAATAACAAATCTCTTATATTATTCCAACAAAATAGAAGACAAAAAGCCAACAACAATTTGGTAAAACCAACACTTAATCCTAGAATAAAAATACGAAATCCAAAACATAATTATTAAAGAAAATCTTTAAATAGGAAAAACCGAAAGACACGAACATGTGTGCTACAATCACATCAAATCCTTATAGTTGGATTGGAGTATACAGGCCAGGGCTCATTGTTATTGGGATTGCGTTTGAGAATAACAAATACGCCATGTACGCAATCCCAATAAAGTTCCAAAAGTTGGTCTTCTTCAAGATCTAACGAATGTTTCATGATATTCCAACCAGTCCCAAAATAAAATTTAGTACCGTCAACACATTTTAGGGTAACCGTGTATGCATCTTTTTCGAAGATTTCGAGGACGTACAAAGGAATGCCGATTTGCAATCTTGCAGCTGTAGCACCATTCATCATCATCATTCGGGAAGATGGAGAACACTTGTGCTTATGGTAAATTAATATTAGCAACAGTAAATTTGATCCGGTTTTGTTTAAGGCGATATCGGTTTACTACGGTCCATGTTGTTCTCCAATTTTTGTTTTGATTAAGCTACAAAAGTAAACACAACAACGTCGTAATGTAATAGAATTTACAGGGAGAGATCTCTCTTTTTTTTTGTTTTTTAAGAATCACCAACTTTGGCGACAATAACTGAAGCATAATGAGCAATGTTAGCTTCAGGGGATTGTTTAAGCCTCGCAATGACCGGGAACAACTCCGATGACTTCACAAACTGTCTGCAAATCTGGTGGTTCGAACACATTTTAGCCAATGAGAATAATGCGATCTTGAGTGGTGACTCACTTGCTGTGTCTTTCTTGCTCGGATTCAAGGCAAGAGCTGAACAATCCGCGACCAGCCTAAGTAGCGTCTGCACCACAAATCCGCCGACAAATTAACACAAGAGTTCATGTTTTTTTACTCAACTAATTGGCTTGATCAGGAGGCTTTGTGAGAGTATCCTTTGTTGACTTCATTGAGTATGAAATAAAGTTTTAATGGATTGATTTTAATCGTATGTAATTGATATTACTAACCTGTAAAGCTCCTTTGGAGACCATATCTTCACAGAGCTTGTTGGAGTTTCGAACAAGGTTGCTCAAAGCACCGGCTGCGTTTGCTTTTGTCTTGTCTTCCTCGGCCGTGGTCAAAACGTTTGCTAACTGCGTTATAGATCGTCTAAGTTCTTCGTACAACGTGTCGTTATGGTAAGCAGCGTTCCCAATCTGCAAAAAGTATTTTTTTGTTTGTTAATGGAGACAAAAGATGGTTTTGTTAGTTTTTGAGGATCTTACAGCAAAGCAAGCGAATTTTTGTGTTCTTTTGTCAGGATCAGCGCATCGATCAATGAGGAGACCGATAATTTGATGTTCCGCCTACACATAATAAACGCATAGACCATGTAAGAAGGAAAATACTCTGTTCTGAAACGTTAAGGCTCAAAGTAAAAACGCTTAGTGTTACTTACGAGAGAGCTGTAGAAATATCCATTGTGTCTACACATGTTGCCAAGAGCACTACAAGCTTTAGCGCGTATATTTGGATCAGAATGAGTAAGAAATTCCTTCAATGGCTGCAAAACAGATGCCTCGCCGATGTATTTATAGAAAGCCTGCAAGGTTGACAATAGTAACAAATTAGAAAACAGTGTTTACTTTATTTCAGTTTTAGAAATTTAGAAAGCTTACCTTATCCATCCTTGATAGATCAGATATGATCATCAAAACATCAAGTATGACTTCTCTTGGACTGGATTGGTTGAGTAATTTTTTCATTCTGTTTGGATCCAACAGATCTTTACTAACGAGCTCCACCGCTAGACGCGGACGACCCACCATTTTGGCAAGAAAAGCAACAGGCCTTACTAAATCTTTTAAATCCAAGTGTTCCAAGCTACGAAGGATTAAACTCGGCACTCCCACCTGAAATTTTTATCATGGAAAATACAATGAGACAAAGACATATCATGAACATTAGCAAGTGTCACAAATTTGACTAGCATCCAATAAAAACCATAGAGAAATCAAATTCTAGTGTAAGATGTCTATAACGAGATTTCATCTCATGAATCATGCGAAAGAATATATTCCAATCAACAATTAAACAAACCTTATGTAAAAAATCAAGGAAACAGAATCGAAAAACTAACCTCCAAGAGTACTTTTATGTATTTGTCCATATCTTCTTCAATAGCTTTTAGCAAATCTCTATCTTCCATGCACACTCTCACACCAGGAGAACCCATGTTGAGAATGAAGCCGCTATTTACCGAGGCAGTTGCAGATAACGGACCTGGCTGACTTTGTAGAGCAACAAAAGGAAATGCCAGGAGATCGATTATCACATTTATTGTCTCTCTGACTCCATCTTTTCCTCCCCCGGGACCTCCCCAGCTCTTTACTAGCTTGATATGAGCGTCAGATATTAAATAAGAAATCAGCTTCATGTTTTCAATCTTCACTAGAACTTGACGGAAAGTTAAAGTCCCGCCCGAAAGACAGTGGCAAATGGACGAAACAGTCCATATAACGCCAACAGGGGACAAGCCAATCCGGTTGGGAGTTTTCTTGACGTCATCAGGGGAAGCATTTGAAAGTTTTCCGGCTAATAGATTTATAAGAAGCAATGGTGTACCACTAGCAATAAGCTGCTGCACAGTTAAAGGTCCTCCCCACTTCAATCTTGATTCTAATAAACCAATACATCCATCCAGAAGTCCGTGCCATTTGGTAAGATTACACTTGGCTGGATTAGATACGACTTCACCACCTTCACTACTTGGCATAAGCCTAAGATGATAACAAAGCTTAGTAGCTCGAGGTATCAGAGGCACCGCGATCTCAGAGACGGAAGATTCAGCAGAAGACCCCTTTTCAAGAGAGAGAATAGATGCAAGAGCAAGCATAGCTGATGCAGAGTGATTTTCAAGGGAAGCCTCGATTTTATCATCCGGGGCAATGTGATTGGCTATGGCAGAAAGACGATGTAGATGCTTCTTTGGAGAAGTTGTAAGCATTAGCAAGGCAGAACTTCTCCCAGTTAGGTTCAAACATTGAGCAACTGTAGCCAACAGAAGACATGAATGGAACACCAGATTGTTTAATCTGCCCTTTAAGTTATTTGTTTCTCCTGCTTGTTGGTCCTTGCTTGATGATGTAGCATAGGATATTACAGAAAATATTTCTGATATAACAGTACCATCCTCTCCACCACTGACTACGGTAGTAATTGGGAGCGAACTGGGAAGACCGCAAAGCACGCTTGGCATAACTCCATTGTGAAGGCAACATCTCAACAAGAGCTGAAACATCAAACATCACAGGAGTTTCCAGTTCAGTTTCAAGAGGGGGAAAAACAATTTGCAACTTTTTCAGTTAACATAGCCAAATAAGGAGAGGAAGATCGCATAACCACCTGAATTGCAGAAAGCAATGGAGCCTCCACTCGTTGGTGAAGGCAATGACTGACTGCAACTTGCACATGCTTTGATCGGAGATATGTTCTTGTCACTGTATCAACAAGTTTCTCAGATAACGGACCCCATTCACTGTTCCTTTCGTCAAGCTGAGAGAGACGAGGGCTCCACAAAGCATCTAGAGGAAATGTGTAGGCATTATCATTCTTAAAGAACGCTTCTGAAGTATCTATGAGAATCCATATTGCTCTACAAGCTTCACAGGCAGCTGCTAACATCTGTGAAGAGCCAGAAGCTAAACTCGATCCAGAAGAAGCCAAACAAACACACAAATGATCAACTAGACGGGACATGTTAGCATGCTCCAAAATCTGTTTAGAAGCGGAATCTGGATTTGAAGACTTAAGATCTTCTGCAACTCGAGACAACATAGTTGTGATGCAAGAACAGGCCTCATATAAAATTCTACCAGTTCCCTCTTCTTCCCATCCAACAACCTATGCACACATAAAGTAATCGATAAGTACAGGTGGTTTAATCTCACAAGAGACTTGAGCACCAAAAGGAAGGTCACCTGTACGAAGATTTCCACTACTTTGGTCCAGTGCCTGATGTAGGAACTATGTATGTTATTGCCTTCAATATGCCCTACCAAGCTTTTAGTGACTGAAAGACTCTGATAAAGCAATAAGTCAGCGTTACAAATCATTGCTAATTGTGGAAAACAGGTTGACAGTCAAATAAAGTAAGTGATCTAATCAGAAACATGCCAGAAATTTTGGTCAAGAGAATTCACCTTTGGTATCAAGTTGTTGAACTCGGATGATTTCATCCCAACAAGAGCATCAGTAAAGTCTAGCAGTGCACATGTTATTTTTTCAATCAGTCCAACTGAAACTATGGCACGAGCTGCAAGCAAATTGGAAATAATCCTAAGGGACTGAACAGAGCAAGCCACATCTTTATCCCTGCGCACCCATGAACGAAAATGTGAATATGCATGTATGCAAACTATCATAAATCCCTCGAAGAGAGCAAACTATCGTAAGATCAGAAAGTCGCAGCCCTGTTTTATTGTCTGTATTACGTAAAAACCTATTTCCGTACCCGTACTTATGATCAACTATGAGCACAACCAATATAAAAGAACAATCCATACGCACCTTTTAAAATCTTGGGGGGACTTTGAACATCTTTCCAGTGACAGCAAAACAAGATCCATTGCTTTATCATCTTCACCTATAGCTTTTGCACCTTTAACATTGCGGGATGTATTTTCCAGTTTGTCTAATGTTGCGTTACCTGAAACGGGAGAAAAACAGCACAAGCATGAATGAGGAATTATATGGGTCCATTATGAAAGAAGGCAAGAACTTAAAAACTCCGAAG